GGCTCCATCGACATTCGTCGGCGCCAACAGCACAAAGCGTCTCTTGTCACTAGAACACTACCTTATACGTCCCCTCCCCCCACGTTTAAAGCACGGACCGCAGAGAGAAGAGCAAGGCCTCTCCGCTGGCACGAGAACAGCTGGCAGAGACATGACATGGCGACTAAGAAGCACCATGTGAAATGGGCCAAGAAGCGTTTTAAGACGGCCCGTCAAGTCTTTATTAGTTTGCCTCCCCTCTTTACCTATACTACCTCGACTAACCCCCCCGCCAAGGCGGCAGTCGGAAAGTAGCCAAGAACACGGGACGTGGCAGTGTTTATTTTAGACTTAAAAGAAGAAAAAAAAGATGTCATTCGAGGGTCCTTGTAACGTCCTGGTAGATTGCAAGTAGTACGTACTGTACATGAAGAGGAGGAGCTCTTGTCTTTATTCGTCTTTTCCCATGGAATGAAGGTGTCTTGTTGCTTTGTGTGTACTGCTACCTACCTAGGTACTAGCACATGATGCTGTTCTTGTCTAGAAAGAGGTAGTGCCTGAGGCCGGTAAATGGCAAACTCCCACAGCCTCGTTGGCCTCGTCATTAGAGGACGTTTATGTTCTCTACCTTGATACTATCTATTGCCGGGTTGACTTTAGCCAGAGCCTCGGTAATCATACGCGTAAGTATGTATCTATACAGATCACGCACACATCAAAAAGTACCTACCTAGGTAGTTGTATGTGCCGGTTCCAGTCCCAGGCTCGTGGGCCCTGAAATGCAATACAAGCCCTGCCAATACTATCGCGGACACACTCAACTCCAGTCACACAAACAGACAAGAGAGGGAGGTACTAGAGGAAATATCACTTGGCAGAATTCACACAAACTCCATGTCTTTGCTGCGCACGGCTCATGCTCATTGATCATTGCTCGTACATATGACCTCAGCTGCAGCTGTACTATGCATCAAAAGAGGCACGGGAAAATGGATTCATACTACAAAACGGCGGGCAAAAGAGCGCGCCATTCCCAATGGCTGGGCTGGGTTGGCTGGATATGCTTCCTGTCGGCCCTTTGAAGATGGGCAACTTTTGGTGGCTATGATAGCTCGATGCATGAGGGCTGGGAGGAGAAGGGGGAAAGAGGGCCTAGATTAAGGTAGGATGAATATGGGACGGTAGTGATGATGCTAATGCATGTATTATGTGAAAGGTCGACATTGATGATCACGTCGTGATTCCACCATGCGCCAGCGCCGTGTGAAAGCCCCGGCAATCAGGATGGCGGTAGTATATGTATGCAATCTGCCTCGGCCGGAAGCACATACGCGCTGTTCATCTGCAGTACTCTATTTCACATGCACGTTTTCAGTTTGTTAATCTATCTAAATTAAACGGACGAGACCTTGTGTTGGCCGCATCTCTGAGCAAGCTTTCTGTGTCGATATAGTAGTATATACATGCATCATGGATTGTTACACTTGCCTTGACACATTCCATGCATGCCACGCTCAAAGAGGAGAAGCATCAATTAACCAGCAATCTCATCCTTTCTCCCGCCCGACCGCAAAGTAGCCTTTTGTAAGAAATGACAGAAATGAACCTTGAAAACGGGCACATAGAATCACCTACAAGCGAAACAAATATAAAAAAAAGGGCGCTATTGCTCCGCGTCTGTATGTACGTCCGCAGCTCATCCCTGCCATTGATTTTCCCTCAGGCGGCCTCCAATGCAAGCCACCACTTCTGTGTGTGTCTCTCTCTCTTCCCCTCTCTCACCACAACCTCACCTAAGATGGCATGCATGGGGTTAGTCAAAAAAGAAAAAAAAAAAAAAAAAAAGTCCATCGCCTTTTCACCCCCTCTCTCTCTCCTTTTCCCGCTGCTTGGTTAAGTCATCTTACATTAGCAGCCGCGCACTTGGGAAAAAAGACTCCGAGTTTGTGCCAGATGCCGAAGAGGGGGATGGATGCCAAGGAGAACGACGCCTCCAAAGCCAAAGCCCAAGGATTCTTGTTGAACCCAAGCCCAGCAGAATCGGCTTCACATGTTTTTCTTTGTAAATTCCAAGATTGAGATGCTACGCGGTGTAAACGTATCCTCCACCTAGTATCTTCATACCGGGGTACATACAAAGAGAACTTTGCATGACCGTAAGGATACAAGGGAATACTTCGTAGGTCAGTATAAAGGCATCGACCGACGTTGAAGCATCAAACAACAACAACTTTTGACAGCCCAAACGATCCACTCCCAACCCCAAGCCATCCGTCCACAAACCCGCGGGTATGAGATCATAGCGTCAGGCAAAGTCAGATGTTCGCAGCCCATCCGGCTCAAATCAGGGCCCCTCTCCCCTCCATCTGGATGCCCACACAGCCCCTGGTCTGGAGTAGGGAAAAGAATCCAAGTTACTACTGGGCTATTCTTATTCAAGCTATATTATAGATATATTTCCTTCCATTTGTCATCAACGGAACACCGCAAGTCAACCGCTGGAAATCCTGCTGCTGGCTTGTTTCTGGTGCCCTCTGTATACCTTGGGTGCTTGTAGTTCCCGGCCATTCTCGTCACTTCCATACCGCCACTCGCCGAACATTTGCTGCCAGGGGGAAGATGATAGCTCGGTATAGTACTTGCTCTGAACTCCCTGCCACCTGTTTCCCTTGACTGCATGTCATGAGTGCTTGATTTGCTCGTCGAAACATGCGGATCTAAGTGTCTGAGTAAGAATAGACGATTGTGCTGACCGTTGTCGATCTGCGTTGTTTTTTGCTTTTCTTCGGCTATCCTCTCCCTGCAGTGACAATCTATCTACTATGTAGTGATATCGAACAATTAATCTGCATCCTGTGTTAGTATGTATGTAGGTAATATTAAGCAAAAAACTACCGGACACCAGATAGGAGAATACATACCTACCGAAACAACAGAAAGATGGACATCAAAGTGCAAGTCCGTTTGCCCCCCCTTCTCCCCTTTTGATCCCGCTTCCCACCAACGTTCCTCGACGCACATCACGCACATCCTCTCTCTCTTTACCAGTGCATCAGTGCAACTTCTTGTTTTCCTTTTTTTGCCATGTTTGAGATCTGCACAGACCTGCAAGATACGAACCCCGTCAGTTGCGCCGGAAAGAAACCCGTGCCCTCCTTCTCACGTCTCGGTGGCCTTGCTCAACCAACACACAGAGACTAGAGCATCCCGGAGTTTCCCTTCCCGTTGGGAACGGCAGCTTTATTTCAATAGCTTGGGAACAAGGATCTTTTTGATGGCAAGTATAGCCGCTTGCGTGGGGAGTCACTGCAGTAAGGCGTCCTTAACTATTGTAACCATGGGCACCGCGTGCTTCGTAGACACACACCTTCATGTTACCTTGTGCAGCTTCTCTGCAGTGCACCACCTCATAGCAACCTCTATCTAGAACGGCAGAGACAGATCCCGGCATGTAGACTTGGACACCGACCTGTCGCAGGAAGTAACACATCTTGGCCCTGATAAACCGACAGACACCGCATCTCCGTACGACAAAAGCACCGTTATCACTGCAACTTCGCGAGTTGCATGCAGCCCCAACCAGTTTCCAAAGTACAAAAGTCACAGAAGTCATACATACTACTACTGCCATCCCGTCCAATTGGGCCCCCCTTTTCAAGCGCTGAAAATGCGCAATCCATCTTTGTCTTATCCTCCTTGGTGCTAGAACTTTCAGCCGGTTGCATTTGCGTTCGTTGCAATTGCGGACACAAACACACTGCACATGCCTACCATACTACCCGTGACCTTTGTCAAACCTCCAGCAAGAACTCCTCAATATGCCAATCCGTGGTTCGTGCCTCTCTCTTCCTTCTCATCGATGGCTCGCATACCTATTTGCAGCATGGCCCGAGCTTTTACTTCTTCCCTCTGAGCTTATATCGTACTATGTGTGTGTGTATGTATGTAAACCCCCATGCCCAGGCCAGGCACGGAACGCGGGTAAGGGAGGTTTTGTGTCAGGGGTTTCCTGCCTGTCTGCGTGGGTGATAACGCGCCTCGCAGAGCCTCGCAGCCTACGCACCGCAGACTATTGCCAGCGCATGTACTTTGCAATAGTAGTAGTATCAGTAGTGCTACTACTACTAGGTAAGTTGTATGCATCTCAGATCGTATCGCGAGACATTTTTACTTCTCGATTGAGCTTGCTCCCTGGCATGTGCGGGTAAACGAGGCTGCCCATCCGAGCGTGCAAGGGTTGACCGACATACAGGCAACAAAAGTAGTGATCCGTACTCATACTTTGTGGTTCGTGCAAGCGCGGAGACATGACTCCCCAAGGTCTTGGTGCCTTCTTATCCTGTTGTCTTTAAAAACGAATTAAGCATTCCATGCCTCTTCCGCTGCCGCGTGGCGGCTCCCGAACCCCCTTCCGCGTCCTTTCGTACATGTACACCGTGCCGAGTGACATGGGTTGCTGCACTCTATTCGTCCTTTCGAGTTTCTCCCTCACACCACCGTCCGCAATCACCACTGCCGTGGTGGTAATGCAATAACGGTCTCACCGACCGTTCTAGAAATCACCCAACGTCGTGTCTCCCCTACGTTAGTCAACTCCCCCAATCTTGCTGCCGTCTTGGGTGCGCCCGAAGCGGTGAGCCGCAATGCTCACGGTTTGGACGGCGGAGATTGCCTTCTCCACACAGTTGATGGAAAATGATACCCTCAGCCTACACCATGATTGTATCCCGAGTAGCGTAGGAGCATAGCAGCGTGGTATCCGATTGGAGATGGCTGCACACGAGGCTGTTTCCAGCCTTCTTGTTGGACGCCCCTTGAATTGCTGGAAGAGAGACCAGGCTTGTACTTTGATAAGGAGTTCCAATCCGCTTGGAAGGGGGGTTCACATTGCTTCGTAGTACTACTAGCTGATGTCTCAATTCGTGCCGAGATCACATCTCTTCCGAGTCTTCATAATCAGGCCGCGGGCGCGATTAGCCGAGTCAACGATCGAGATGCGCTGGTTCGAGACGCCGACGGAACTAATTTTGGTTTCTTGTCTTGCTTCTATTCTCGGATCCATCTGAGACTTTGAGTTTGGACACAATATCGGCCAACTTGTTGCCCGGATGGAGAGGGAGAGGGTCTAGAAGCTGCTTGGAATTCTTCCCGACAGCCTTCAGCGGAGATGGTGAGACTGAAGCCTCGTCCACCAAGTTGTCCAATTTCTTGAAATACTCCTTCTCCTTGATGTGTTTCGTGAGATACAGGATCGGGTTGTTTAGTTGGTCCGGTTTCATCCGCTCCTTGATGGCCTCCTCATAGGCTCGGTCATAGACGTTGAAGTCGACCGCAGTAGGGGAGTCTGACACGACGTCTGGCGTCTTCTCGTCCGTCGCAAAGGCGTCTCTCGCCCCCGTACCGATGCCCAGGAATGGCGGCTCTTGGTCGGTGATGTCGTGGGCTTGGCCTTTCGTTTTTCCTTCCTCGGCTTCGGGCGCAAGCAGCAGTTTCTTCCGCTGTGTTATGAGCGCCGCAATGTCGGCAGCCGATGCCTTTGCGTCCGTTGGCTTGGTCGTTTTCTTTTCTTCAATAGGTCGAGGCGTGCCATTTTTGCGTCTGCTCGCTGATAATGAGGTTCTGAAGCGGTGGATGGCCTTCATCACACACAGGAGGTGGTTCATTTTCCTCGTAAACGCCCGGCTAAGCTCCAGCTCATTCGGGGGCTCGACAGGGTTGGCGCAGTTCTCTTCTGCGGAGAGTAAAGGGTCTGTTCCCTCCTTGGTCACCCAGGGATGTTCCTGTAAAACAGTCAGTATATCGACCGTGCCTGATTGGGCTCGTCACAAGAGACTCACTCGAAGCTCAGCCATGGTAATTCGCGTCTCTGGGTTCTTGTCCAGCAGTCTGCCCATGAGATGGACAAAGGTCGGATTCTCGTCCTTGGGAAACTCTGGCTCCTCCGTCTTGATGGCCTCGTAAATCTCGAGCATTGCCTCTCTGTTGAAAGGAATCCTGCCGTACTTGAGACAGTAGAGGGTGACGCCCATGGACCAAATGTCTGCCGCTGTGCCAGAAACCTTGTCGTGCTTGCTGCACAGTTCAGGAGGTAAGAAGGCGGGAGACCCTGCGGTTTTGGCAGTTGTCATGTTGGTGGGTTTCTCGAACATTTCGGAGACTCCAAAGTCGACAACTTTGAGGACATCATCTTCTGATAGCAGGAGGTTGTCGGGTTTGATATCACGGTGGATGACGCCTTGAGCGTGCACTGCTGACAGGTTAGCATCCGTGACCACAAGTCCGACATGTGTCTGTTTGACTTACGGTACTCAATGCCCAATATCAAGTCTCGGAACCAGAATCTGCACTCTTCTTCAGGGTACGGATCTGCCTGTTCACACAAGCCGACTTTCATAATGACCCCCTTCTTGCACATCTCCATGACCATATACAGAGAATCTTCATCGGGGTCATCCAGCACTTCGATGAGCTGGGCCAGGTTGGGGTGATTGAGCTTCTTCATGATGGCAATCTCCTCTCGGATGTAGAACAGCGCATCGCTCTTTTCGCGGTCCCGCAGCCCAACAAGATGAGGAGGCAAGTCACCTCCCCTGGCAGGCATCCGTCGCGACGCTCCTGGGCCTTGGCGCATGGCCATGGACTGCGCTCGTCTTCGCAGGCGGACCTTGGAGAACTCCTTGACAGCCTGAAGAATACTAACTGTAAGCCAGCTTCACGGGAAGGGGGAGAGGCAAGACCAACGTATTCGTTTCCGAACTGATCTGTCGCAAGGTGGACAGAACCGTAAGAGCCCCTTCCGATTTCCTCTTGAATCACATATTGGTTGATTCGATGATGAGTCCGGCCATCTGTTTCGTCGTTAGAGAATTCGACACGGGCGTCCAAAGTTTCCTGTTGAGCATGCTGATTAGCCCAGTCCACGCTTTAGGCTCATGGTGGAGAGGCTGACTTTGATCTCGCGATGAGCACTTGGCGTGCGCTTATGTTGCCTGATGGGGCTTGCGAAGCCGTGAAGCCGAGGCGGTTCAGTCCTATGATACGATGAAGCATTAGCCCTCGATACAGTCGCACAGATATGGAGAAGCCACAGGTCGTTCTGCTTCTTCTGAGCGGCAGCAGTAGAGCGGCGCATTTGTCCACTTACACTGCGGACGCCAGAGACGGTCGAACGTCCTCTGACAGATCATCACGGCCGTTTACAGTCAGCCGAGGCGACTGAAGCCCCGGCGGCGGCAGCCCGTACACGGGCGCCGATTTGATGCTATTGCCAGGCGACTGAGGCGGCGTCTCCATGATGGTCAAGCTCAATTATGCGAAAAACGGCAGCCGAAGCTCGATCAGGTGAAGCTGCTGTGAGAAGGGCTCGTGTCGCGTTCGGCTCGTTGAGTTTCCCGGCGTCTCTTTTTTCGCAGTTGCAAGCTCCCGATCCCGGCAAGCAGCTATCAGTGAGTGAGAGATGGAATCAGCGAGAATATGCCCAGCCTCCCCGCGACATAATCCCTGCGCCAGGTCCAGTTTCACAAGCGAGCAGCTTTGCGCGCCCAGGGCTGTGGTCAAGTAATATGAGGTGAGGCTGAACGACGGGCGGCCCAGTTCAGTGGAGGGGTAGAAGGCGGAAGAGCTGCAGCTGGCATTCCGTCTGTGAGCGGGGGCGTCAAGCTCGGGCAGACGATTGGTGACTCTGACTGGACGGCTGGCAACATGAACGGCGGTATCATTCAGTCCATTATTCAGTCAGTCAGCCTGCAGCAGGACCAGCGCCAGCTCTGTCTGCGTCGTATGTAACCATGTCTGCTGCTCTTCTTCGCGTTTGGTCATGGTCTTTAGAACGCATCCAGCTCTTTGCTTGCAGTCAATGCTCAATCTCTTGAGAGGGCTCTCAGTGCTCCCACTGTAGTTGTACCCGCCATTGTTGGGCTCTCCAGCGGGCTCTTACAGTGGACGTACCTAGGTTGGCATTGATGGATCCACCTCAGTCAAACCCCCACCATCTCCAGTGACACCCGACCTGTAGACTCCAGCTGTCAACATGAACTCCGCGTACCGCGATTAGATAACCCGGGCCGCCAGCTCCTGGATCCTCAACCGACGACGCACCTCCAGACCGCGTCTCTCGAACGAAGCTCCAGCTGCTTCGCTGACAATTCCCAGGCCCATTGACCTCTCGCGTCCAGCCCCAAACCACTATCGAATCGCCGGTCCCCTTCCTTACAGAGCAAACATCGCGCGCAACCCGCCCAATCTGCCCACCATGGTCGTCTACTCCTTCTACATCTTCGACCGCCACAGTTCCGTCTCTCCTCTTCCTTCGCTCCCTTAGAAAGAGTCCGTCATTCTAACAAGACTTCCCCTTTCACGCAAACAGCCGAATGCGTCTACGTGAAATCCTGGCTCGCCTCCCCGACCCCCGGCGCCGCCGCCCCCGTCCTGTCCACCGGCTCCGACGACGCAAAGCTCATCTTCGGCACCGTCTTCTCCCTCCGCAACATGGTCCGCAAGCTCGGCGGCGACGACGACGCCTTCATCAGCTACCGCACGGGCCAGTACAAGCTGCACTTTTACGAGACGCCCGCGAACCTGCGCTTCGTCATGATTACGGACACCGGGTCCGCGAGCATGCGGAACGTGCTGCATCAGATTTACATTAACCTTTGGGTTGAGTATGGTATGTTCAAGCTGCCTCTTTTTCGTGCCGCCTGGGGGATGTGTTGTTTCATGGAGGTATTCTTCTTTGATTTGGAGTGATAAATGACTGAGCCTCTTTTTGTGTTATGGTATTATAGTCGTCAAGAATCCGCTTGCGCCGGTTGAACACAAGGGCGGTGCGGGTGTGAACAATGAGCTTTTCGAGCTTGGACTGGATCAGTTTATACGGGGCTTGATGTGAGCCGCTCGGACGATGCTGTGAGACCTCGAAACAGCAACGAAAAAATGTTTGAAAAGCGGAAAGAACCCCAAACAGACGTGGCGACGGGACGACCTCTGATGCTCCCCAAAAGGCGGGGTGCTCTTCAAGGGAGCTCACAGGGACGCTCTCCTATCCCGTGGCCGGGATGTCACAGAATGCAGCATATACCTCTGCTATTCAGAGGCTCCAAGAGGGAGAATCATCAAAGGACAGATGGGGCTGCGCGGATATTGTTCATCCAAAGCGTCTTCGGTTGGGGGCTGCTTGAATGAGAAGTCTGCGTGTCGTGACATGACAGATCGGCCCTGATGGAGAGCCGTGGGGATCTACTGGCAGAGCCTTGCAAGAGGGGAAAAATCTTCATCTCAAGAAGATGTCGAGCGCTGACCTCGACCGGCCGAGAGCAAGGTGGATATATATCGTCGTACACTGTCTGCTGAACTGCCAACACCAAGAAAAAAACATTGTATCCAGACAAGAAGAAGATGATAGAACAAGGCAAGTAGAAAAAAAAGGAGAAAGAAGAGCCATTGAATCTGTACCATTCGTCCCACCCTTGCCTCCCAAATGATTTAACCAACCCGAAGAGAATGCATCGAAAATCTTTACTCTTTACTATACAAGTATGCGCATCGTCTGCTACCGTGCCTTGTCCTCCACGTTATCCCGTGCTTCAAGATCTCTTCTCCACTGCCCTCTCCCATGCGCCCTCGAGGTTGGCCGTCGTCTGGCGGTCAACCATGACGACGCTGCTGTCGACTTGAGTGGACTGCGACTGGGTGTCTTCGGACTTGAGGTAGACGGCGCTCTCCATGAGCCCCTCGTCCTTCATCTCGTTCTCCCAGTTGCTCGAGTAGACAACCGCGGAAAAGGCCTCGAGATCGCGCACCGACTCCATTTCTTGCAGATACTCGTTCGGGACACCGTTGCCAATGACGTGAGCCTGCCGCGTCAGGACGGACAAGATCTTGGGCAGCAGAATGGCCCGGCTGCGCTTGAGGCTGGCTGTTGTTGCCACTGTGGTGGGGGCCTCGTCGAGGGAGAACTCGAAAGCCTCGGTGGCCAGCTTCTTGTCCACCAGATGCGAGAATCCCTTGTCAAGGATCAGGGTCAGGACGTGTGAAAAGGCGGGCGACTCGATCAAGTCCGCCGTCTCATCCAGCAGCCGCCTCAGCGCGGCAGACGTCACCTGTGAACCTCCTTCTGGAGACAAGCCTCTGTCGTCGTCGAGAATGCCCGATTCCCGGATGACCTCGTCCTCCTTGTCCTTGGGAGGCAAGAGAAAGGTCAACCAATCGGAACGCTTGCGCTCATCAGCGCTGGACCCTTCAATCAGCTTCCTAACCTCTGCCGTCAACTGGGAGACGCGGTCAAAGGTGACGAGATCGCGGGGGCTCAGGCTTCCAAAGACGGTCCTCACGGAGCTCTCGACGCTATGCATGACGTCGATCCAGCCCCTATTCAGCAGCCACCAGCTGAATGTGAGGTACTTGCGATTTGTGTCGAAGTCGCTGCCGTATGATTGGTCGGGATTGTCATCGTCGTTGTTCTCTAGGTTGATGGTGGCCTGCTGGCTGCCAGTGGCGAGGGCAACGACGCTGGATAGGTAGCTGCGCCGACCCAGAAGGTTTAGTTGGACCCTGGTCAGCATGGTGAGGAGGGCGAGCGTGTATACGAGCGTAAATGATCTCGTAACGGCTATGTTTCGCCGACACGGTCAGTATCTATTCCACCCTGTCTCTTTGACAAGCACAAGCAAGGAAGAGGCGCGTACCGCTAATGGTCAGGTCATCCCACAGCTGCCTCTTTGTCTTTCGCGGCCTGGGGGGGGCGAGCTCCTGCTGGGAACCGTCTGAAGTAAAGGGCATGCCAAGCTCGACAGGCACGCTGACGGTGCTCTTGCTATCATCCTCGGTAAGGGTGGTATCGGCAATGCTGGGCGGGCTTGTCGTCTGGACGCCCTTGCGGCTTCGCGCGGTGCTCTTGATCTGTTGGATCTCGTAGGTGATTCTCTCGGTGTTGAGAGCGTTGACGATGTTGCCCGTGGCAGTGGGCAAGAGGGCGAGGACGGTGAAGGTGCAGTCTTCCTGGTTTTGCTCGAACCGACGTCGGAGACTGTGGGGAGTAGATGTTTGTTAGTTGGCGATAGGAGAGAGTGATGAATGAGGTCTGCTTACTTTTCCTTGGCGATGCGGTCGCTGCTCATGCGCTCGCGCGCGTCGTTAATCTTGGACATGACATACTGCGTGACGGCGTAGCCAGCGCCTACGACACCGAGGCCGATGGCAATTGGCCTCCGGTTGCGATGCACCCAGCGCCGGGCTGAGGAGAGCATGTTGGGCAGCGCTGCGCGGGTCGAGTCGGGTCGGGGCAGGTCAGAGGCTCATGGATCAGCAATTCGGGGTCATGTGCGAGACAGGGCGTGTCGTTGGGTCGGGACGCGTCGGTGGTCCAGCAATGCGAAGCTCGTTGCACAGAGAGAGTCGGCGGGGACGAGGTGGTGGTTGATGGCAGATCAAAGTCGCGCTGGTGGTGAGATGAAGCTCTGCGTGTGTGTAGGTGTGCTTCCATCCCATGCTCATGTTTGGTTTGCTTGCAGCGTTGCCTCGGTTCTGCCCAGCGCCTCTAATTGGCGTCCTCGGCTTGGGGCAGCATGGGCAGGCAGTATATGAGTACGCGCGAGGTACAGCTGCGCACGCCGTTTGCAGCGCCAGGCTGTGTACATCTGCGTACATGTACCCTGCGGTCGATGGTAGCGTCAGCCCCGTCGACATTCCGGGGTGCCCAGTCCAGCTATAGCCCACTGTATGCATGCACTAAACGGGAGGTGGCTCCAGGCGCTTACAGGCAGTCAAGGTAGCTGGAGGCTGTCAGCGCTTGACGCTGAGGTTGCCCTGCACTGAGCATCAGCTGGAGTTGAAGCTCGCCGTGATTTGGTAGGGTTGGAGCATGACACCTTTGATACCCGACGTGTCAGGTAAGGTAGTCGCCATATTCGAGCCGTCAATTCACCTTGAGCATCATTAGCTACTAGATACCTAAGCAAGCGGGGGACAGAATAATAGGGAATTGTGCGATTCTAAACACCCAACCGTTGGAATATACGCACATTACCGCCTGGACAACTGATCGGCAATTGTGTGTTCATATAATTTTATATGTGCACTTATTTATTTTGCGGTCCCTATTTTTCTGTCCCCCGCTTGCTAAGGTAGTAGCACCTACATAAGGTGGTAAGGTACCTACATCAGGTAGGCTCTCCAGATCGTCTACGAGGACGTCCAGCATCTCGGCATCTTCCATCACGACAACCACCAGGTACCGGCTACACACATGCTTATCGCTTATCGCAGGCACAAGCTGCACTAACAGCCCCGAGCAAAGCCTGTGACGTGACTGTGCGCATGTCCCGATCGATCCCACGCCGCTAAATTTCCGTTAGCAAACCTGACGGCATCAGCAGCACCCTTTCAGCTCTCCGCCGGCCCATGTACATTCTACCTTGAGCTGGTCGCGTCCCCTCGACGACTTACACGGACAGCCTTAACCGCAGCAAGGAGCAGCTTTCAGGCTTTAGGTTCCATTGCCTTGCTGACCATCTCCCTTTCCCTCATGTGCTGCCCCTCCTCTCCTTGACCTCATTCCCCCACCCCCTCGCTTCCCAATTTATCCCAGCAATTCCAGCTGCCTGCATACCAACCGCCCATACACAACCCTTACTCTTTTCATCTCGCTGCATATTTCAATTTTTTTTCGCCTCTTCCTTGGATTGACTCCCCTGCCCACCGCTCGCAACGACACAAAAAAAAAAAAGGAAGCCCTTTGCTTTCCGCTTCTACGCGCTTCCCTTCTCCAACCTCCTGTCGAACCCGGTACCTGCTGCTCACAAGGCGGGAACGTCACGCCTGCTAAGGGTGTCCAGCCTCGACACCCGCTCCGGGTCTGCTGACTTCCTGCTCCTGCTGACTGCGACAACGGAACTCGCACCTCTTGAGCCGTTGGGGTTGAAGTATCCAAGCAGAAGAAGCATAACAGCAATGCGCCTCTTCGCCCAGCAGTCGAGATAACGCCTGGCCAATCCATTTCTTCTTCTTTGGGACGCCCCCTTCGTGGTGACATACAATTGCTCGGTGGGAAAGAAGCGAGAGGAAGAGAACGGGATAGCGAGAGCAGCAAGTCGCACTTCTCGCAGCTTGCCCTTTTCGACTGCTCTTCGTCCATTGCCAGCACACGGCTGTCTTGCTAAAAGAACGAAACAAAAAGAGAAAAGAAAAAGAAATGGATCAACAGAAGCCCCCGGAATTCATACTCGACGTCTTCTCGGATCCTCGGTCTGTCCGCGAAGTCGTCAAAGGTACGCTCTCATCGTTCCGCAAGTTTTGCGCCAAAAGTCCTGTCGCATCATGAACGAAAAGAAGCCTCCCCCCCGTCCTTGCGGCTAACAGAGCGAGTCGCGTTCACAGGCATCCTCCACACAATCTTCTTCAACCGCTTCTTCCCCTCCCTGGCACCCCGGACGCACGAGGTTCTCGACGTCACCCTGCCCTACGTCAACGACGATGAGCTCGAGACGCTCATCGAGCAGCGCGCCTACGCCCTCGAGCGCCAGCTCGACGCCGAACGACTGTCGAGCTCGGGCGGCCACGCTGGAGGGGGAATAGGCGCCGCGGCAAAGGGCGACAAGATGAGCGGCGGCGCCGCGACAGCGGACGGCGGCAGCGGGGGCAGGGGCCAGATCACCGTCCAGTTCTTCGAGCGGAAACGGCGCAAGGCGTGGCTCACGCGCGGCGAGGAGGAGGTCTGCTGGGAGACGTGGACGATTAAAGTGACTGTCGCCGAGCCGAGGACGGAGAACGGTACGTCGTCGCACAGCATGACACCCCGAGCTCCGTATATATATAGTATACTAATTCTCTACCTATGGGCAGAACGAGCCAAAGTCCGCAGAGCAATGGAGCAGACGCTCTTCGCAACCGCCATGAAAATCGTCACCTTCGTCAACACCCACAAGGACCACATCCCGCCCATCACCACGCAGGGCGGCAACCCCTTCCCCTACAAGATCAACCTCGAGTCCAAGGAAACCAGCTGGGTGTCCCGCATACGCATGTACTAGAACTGCCTAGTAAGCATGACGGACGACAATGATGCTCTTTTTGGCCGCTGACAGGGATTCAACTTGAAATGACCACCCTTTTGAGACCGGGGTTTCCTATTTCACGATTCTCTCATATTCTCTCTCTATAGAATAATGGGCTTCTGGGAGGGGGCAAGGATTCTTCTGCGTAATGCGCTCCAACTACAATATGTTACTTCTTGGGTGGGCAGGCAGACAAACGCGGCATATATATTGAGTTTTTGCGTTTTACAATAACGGGAGGAGGGCGTTTTGGGTGTCGGTGTAAAGGAAGGCGATATAATCGATTCTGGACATTGAATATGAACACGATGACATGCGCACAAATCATGGGCATGGGATGCTCTTGGCGACGGACAAGGCATGGACCCGGCTTAATGACGCATCACTGTTTGATCTGAGAGAAATTGTACGCCCGATGGCCACCTAGGCATCTACTACACAAGGCATTAGGCACAAAGCACAATTCACAGTATCGATGCAACAATATACGAGGACCTGAGGAATACAGTGTAATTGAACTCAGACAGACCGAAAAGCCTATCAACTCTTGCTATTGTGAGGCAAAGAAGGAAGAAAGCCAATCAACAAGACAAAGACAGCAAACACCCAAGCCTGTCCGGCAAGAGACAATCCCTGAAAAGACGAGTTCCGATCCTAATCCGTCCAGAAAAAAAAGAAAAGATGGTAAAGCCAACACGAATTCAAACATGAGCCAGCCAAGCCTCTCACAAACTCTGTGATACCAATTCCCTAGGTACATATGCGCGCACGCACATGTTTGTGAATCCAGACTCCATGCATCCAACCAATATTCCGGTGAAGAAGTCCAAGACAGAAAAAAGCAAATAAAAGGAGGGAAAGAAAAGGAAAAGGAGAAAAAGACCAGAAAAGTGATGGGGAAAACCGACAACCCCTCGCAAAAAAAAACATTCCAAGTCCAGGCCCCGGCCCAGGCCATACCAGCTAAACCAAGCAATTCCGTTCCCCGGAACAGACCGTGGTCGTATCCCAATGCCGTAAGGAAAAAAAGGAGAATAAAAATCAAGATGGACTATGTACTCAGAATCATCGTTACCCATTAGGGCCAAGCTATGAAGCTCCAGGGAGAGGGTTGGTTATGCACACTCCCCCTGCAGTCCGTCATCCGAACTGACTCTCGTCAAATACCCATAGTCGCCGCGTTAGTCGTGTGAATCAATGTCATGATCAAGGTTTCGTAGGCCCTTTCCACCGCATGTGTCATTTCTCATTGCGCCTCATCGTCTAAAAGGTGGTCGTTAAGCTTCGACCCAGGACGGGCTTTCCGCTCTGCTTCAAGCCTTTGGATGGTTGTGAGCCAGATCCAATCTTTTCGAACCCCTGAAGGATGTCAAGGCCGGTAAAGTCGGACGCCTCTACATCGGCACTGGGAGCAAAGTCGCCTGGGTCCAGATGGAGGGACGGCCAGTCGCCATCTCCTGGAAGCTCAATAAGCGAAACAAACTTGCTTGGTGAGTTGCCCCTGATGGGTGACCCCTGGAAAATCTTGGAAGGAGAGCTGAGGCCTTCAAAGACTTTGCTCGGTGTCTCCAGAAACTGCGAAGGCGTGTCAGGAGCTTTGAGCAAAGGGGCCGACGTGAGAAGCCTCTTGGAAGCCGACATCTCCCCAATGGCTGATGATGAAATGGACCGGTCCAAGCGAGCGCGCTTGGCCGAGCGCTTGATGGGCGAGCCCGCATCTGCAGCACCAATGCTGTCAAAGACGTTCTCATCATCCACAGGCAGGTCTTGGAAAATGTCAAAGTCGGGGAGGTTGCTGCTGGCATTGGGCGTATCAAAGGTGAAGATGTTCTCATCCAGCCGGAAGGCGGGACTCCAGGGCAACATGTCCTCGTTGGACAGATTGGCTACTCGTCGAAGAGGAGACTGCAGCATGTGGCGGACCTTGGCGCGATGAATGCGCAGGTTCGTGTTGGGAGACACCGAGGGCGGCGGCTGAGCAATGGGCTTGACCTTCTTGACAACGGGGGTAAGAGGAGGAGGCATCTGGCTGTCATGGGACTGACGGAAAGGAGACGACGAGGTAAGCCCGTAACTGGAGAGCGAGCGGCTCTTGGTTGGGCTAAAGGGAGAAGACCCCCTCAGCCGTGCAATCTCCTCCTCAGCCCGCCCGCGCTTGATGCGGTGCCGATCCGCCTCAGACGTGAAGAAGGCTGACCTGGCTGCGTTCGGGCGCATGGCGGAAGACTCGAGAGAGGAGATGTAGCCGCTGTCGTCCATGGAGGCGAATTTGCGCTTGTGAGTCCTGGTTGCGGACGAGGCAGGGTTGCGGCCCACGGGAGGCGGAGTGCCGTTTCGTCGCTCTGGTCGGGGAACTGGCGGGGTAGAGTGCAGAGCGGGTGGAAGGGGCGAGAAGAAGGACGATTCCAGCGGCAATTCATTGTCCGGTCCCTTGTCCGCCGGGTCCTCAGCGGGCGCGTTGTCGGAGAGAAGGATGGTGGCATCTGATGAGGGCTCCAGGGGCATGGACAAGGTCGCCTGAGAAGTCGGCAGTGGAGGGAGGCTGGTCACATGCGGCTGATGCTGGTGGTGGTGCTGATGGATGGGAGCCGGAGGCGGCAGGCACGGCTCGGGCACCAGTGCTGGCGTTGGTCGAGAGGGCTCGAGGCGGGTGGACATGACGGGGAGATTCTCAGCAGTCGGGACCGATTTGCGCGTGGGCTTTTCCTTGAGAAACTGGAACTCGGTGCCGGGCTCGATGCCCCAGTAGTTGCCCTTGCCGGGATCGTCCTTTGGTCGCTCGATCTTGATGAAGTTCTTGTGCAGACTCAAGTTGTGTCGAATGCTATTTTGCCAGCCTGCGTCGTTGGGGTTGTAGAAGGAATAGTTGTCGCTGATCCACTTGTAAATCTGGGCAAGGGTGAGGCGTCGCTTTGAAGATCGAAGAATGGCCATTCCAATGAGCTGGGCGTAGCTGTGAGGCGGCTTTGTGCCGTCGTCAGTAATGGGAGGGAACGAGTCGTGCGGCGGCAGCGCCTGCTCTTCGGCCTTGGGCTTCTTCTTGTTGTTGTTGTTGTTGTTGACCCGAGAATCCTTGATCGGTGCCGCCTCCATGAGTCCTCGCTTTGCACTGGGTTCCTGGTAATACTGCTCCACGGAGATGTTGATAGCCGGCGGTGCCGGGAAGATTTGAGGGTGGACGTTTTCCTTTTCAAAGAAGGCATTGTGATCGGCGAGAGGTGGTTTCTGTAAGCCAGTCTTGAAGTTGGATAGCTGCGGCTTCTTCTGCAGAGAGTCGGTGACTGGCGCCTTGTCTGGAGGAGGAGCCATTGAGATGCCGTTGAACTTGTTCAGGCCGTGCGACGGCTTGAGCGGTGCCCTGGGTGCGGCTGTCTTGGCCTTGAAGGGTGAGAATCGGTTGCTGTTCTGAGAGACTGCGGGCTCGAGAATGACATTCGAGCTTGAGTTGGTGAGAGGACGACGGATAGGCCTGGTGGGATTCGGCATGGGTGCGTGGCTAGTCATCGGCGCTTCGTTCTCGTAGAAGAGGTCGTCATTGAAGACTTCCAACGGCCTGGAAGAGGCGTAGAACCGCGGCGGCTGGGCCATTTCGGCCGCGTTGTGTGAGAAGAGACTGTAAGTAAGAGTGTGGTTGAGGCTCGTTGGAGCTCAGTGGAGCAGGCTGAGGGTTGACAGATGTCAAGGCTCAGGTGCTGCTGTTCCTGGGCGCGCTAGTCAGCCGAGAGTGCAAGGGAAGAGACGCGACACCGTCGTAGCGAGAGCAGCGGAGGCATCGCAAGGAAAATAGAATCGAAGGAGAGGAGGAAGAGGGCAAGAGGAGAGTGATGCAGGCATGGGGGGTGTTTTGTGTGCTCACCTTGCTGAGGTCACCGTCACTCGCAGGCGCGGTGGGGCGCCGAATGGAAGTCCTGGGGAGGCTGCTGCCCTGACCGGGTTTTTGCTGCGTCTTCCCTTTTCCTCTCGGCTGGGACGATACGATGGGGATAATAGGAGAGCCGATCGGGACCCGCAGATGATGAATTTGTGGAAAGAAGAAGGAAATGTCCTTTTCGAGGCTCTCTCAATTACACTGCGATAGGCGATGGGGCGGGAGGTGCAGGATTCAAGGTTCGCAGTTGGGATCGAAGTAACGGTTGCGGTTCTGCTGGATGCGCGCGGGGAGGAAATATTTGGCTGGTGCAGCAGAGGCGGCGAGAGGGCGAGAGGACGACACGGCGTAGAGGAGTCTGTTGACGGGCGATTAGAGGTGGGATGGAAGAGATGGAAGTGCGCGAGCGAGAGTGAGGGGAGGCGGGCGCTGTAATAGGGAATGCCAGTATGATCGGAAGGGAGGGCGAACGAACAGCGAACAGGCGCACAAGGTGGTGGCTCTGGCTTCTCTGATGCAGCACACAAGGGCAAACTTTCGATCCTTGGAACAGGCCCGAGTGGATCGCCGACCGGGGGCCCTGGCAGTTGCGAGAGACGCAGAAAGCCCAGCGCGTCAGGGATGCGAGGCCGCCGATGCGGATTGGATGGCGGGCTGTCTGGGCTGACACGAGCGACCGGGGCCAGGGATGGTTGTGCAATCGTCAGGTCGTGGTGCTGGCTGGCGTCTGCAGAAAGCTTGCTTCTCCAGCCCGCAACTAGCGACGGAGCCGCGAGTCGACAAAGTGCTTTTGAGTCTTTCGGTTTGACTATCGCTGGGATGGATGGATGGATGGATGGATGGATGGATGGAAGGATAAGTTGATGCGTTGGCTTGGATTTCGGCTCGCTGGTGTGGGTGGGCTCGGGTGCAAAGAGAGACTGAATGAAGAGACGAGAACGACGGCTGCAGAGCGTGTGAGAGGCTGGCGCCAACACGTTAGAAACTTGACGAGCACATGTAAGGCGCAAGTATGTGAGGGTGGACTCGGGGCTTTTCGAGGGCGTTTGCGAGACCAAGTCAAGGGAGGCGTTGAAGGTGCAGAGTGGTGAAGAAGAGTGAAGAGTGA